TACATATCCTGTTAGTATAATCTTTTCCCCTAATTTACTATTCTACTGGAATGTAATACAGAAATATTTTCCATTATTTTGTCGAATTTGGTTGTGTCAAGGCAGACAGAAAACAATGGAATTGTATGGCTGCAGGATTGCAGCCACTGTTAGACTTAAGTGATATGTTCTGAAATCTATGACTGATTATTTAGTGACTCTACATTCTGTAAGTGAATATCCAAACTAAACCTGGACTGTTTGCTATTGTGAATTGTAATGGTATATGTTACCAGACACCCATTTAGGAGGAAAAAATAAACAAGCAAACTCACCTTTTCTCTGCCTTCCTCACCCCCCTCCCTGCCTTCCTTTCTGTCTTAGTCCACCCACCCCCTCTTTCTCCCTCCCTATTTCTCTCCCTCACTTTTCCCCTTCCTCATAAGTCGTCTCCCTCTTTCTCCTCAAACTCTGCAATGGAAATTTATTTGCACTCCTGGAATGTGTCTATTCAAATGATAGCCTCTAATCCAGGGGTGGTATGTGAATAAATGTTCCATGGATCTCATAGTACACTCAAATATGTATTGTTTTCTTTTATAGATTGTGTTGTTTTCTCTTCCATTTAAACAGCAGCAATAGCAGCAATAGCAGTACTTATCTTCAGAACCTGCATGCAGTGTTTATTTCAACAGGAAGGCTACTTTTTGATGGGCAGATCCTAATAAAATTTACAGGACTTGAGTAAATGTAGCTAACAGAATCAGTACAAGGAATTGATAAACACTTTTAGAGAGAATAACTTCTAAAGCATTAGACTGCATTTTTGGTGTACACTTTCCTAGAATTGTCAACAGAACAGAAAACCCAAGTGAACGTGGTTTTGGGTATAGCTTTTAGGAATGTCTATGAAATAATTTTACTCTTTAGATTATCTCCATTTTATAATGGTATGCATATGGATGCAAAACCTGCTATTTACAGAGATTCCTGCTCACATTTTGACTATCTTGCTGCCAAAGACTGCTCAGGAAGCTGTTTTTTTTTCTTTCTGTGGACTCTTGTAATAGTTAATTTCAGAGGAAAATAGAAACTTTATGCATAGTTTAGGTTGTGATTGAGTGGAAGAGAAAAAGGAAACTCAAATACTCCTTACCTCAAAATGACTTTTCATTTTTTCTGATGTATACCACTTTTGTTTTCCTGTTTTTCAACTTTTAAAACCATATTAAAATGCATAAAAACATGGTGATAGGAACCTGTAAGAAAACTGTCAGTACTTAATTTTTGTTCAATATGTGTTATATGTTTATGTTTCCTTTGGGTGTGGGTATCTTTTTCCAACTTAAGAACCAAAAGTTTTACAAAAACAGATGTAGTGAAAATAAGCAAGAGAAGTCTCATTTCCTTTGGTGAACAAAGTTCACAATTAGCTTGAGTGTAATTTTTTGCATGTTGTACCCTATCAGGCAGTTTTGTTGACAAAAGCTTGCTTTCTTGGATTTATCACAACTGATAAAAGATCTGTGATGCCAGACAAAAATTTAGCTACACAGAAAAGGGGAAAAGAGTGGGTCAGATGTAATAACATATTCTAGATGTTATTCCTGCCAACAATTAATGGGGAAATTCATTTTATGAAGCTCTGTTTACAGGCTGACATCTGGAGGACTTCTCAGCTTGGATCATTTCCAGCGTGTAGATTTATGTACTACTATTCCTCATCCTTTCCCCTTTTTTCCTTTAATATTTCACTTTTCAGATCTATACCATTCAGTTAATTGTGAATGAATGTAAATGATTTTGTTGCTGTGATTTCTTTTATGATTCAATGTGGATAAAAACTGAAAATAGTTGCTAAAACAGACATTCAGTGAATACTTATTGAAAGGTATTTAGAGATATAAAAAAATTCAGAGTTCTTGTAATTTGAAAGTGTTCTGATCAGAGAAGTCAGAATACAGACCATGAGTAGATCTTTTGAAGTATGAAATGAAAAGCTTGTAGTCCTAGCAGAAAAGATATTTTTTTTTCTTTTTTTCCATATAGCTGTCCTGAGTTGTAAAATGTTTTTGAATCACAAAATCCTGGTCTACCATGGTTCAAATATTATATTCAGTAGAGTATATTTGTGCCTTATCCAGTTTCTTTTTCAGTCTAGTGAAAGTTTGAAATTTTCTTTGAATGTTTCCCTTCTTTCAGTGTGACAATAGTGTCAGTGTGGTCTCCACACCTTCCTTCCTGTAGGAAATCATAGCGTGTGTCAAGGGTATCCATTGTTATCTTGAGGATGGGTACCTGTTCTGATTGGCACAGAAAATTTCTTGTTAGTTTCTTTGGAAGAAGTGGGTACCACTTGTGTTGAGGCAGGCTATGTGTGTGTGAGAGGGTCCAGTCATACTACCCAGCACCATGCATCTGAACAAGTTAAGGGACATTTAAACAAATTTGATTTAGAAGGTAGTACTGGTATTAAAAGAGCAGGGTAGAAATGATCCTGTAAGCCTCATTTTCTCAAAAAAAGGTGAAAGTACAACTATTATATTGATTTCTTATTTGATCACTTATTTAAATATTTATTGTCACAAAAATCCTAGTGAAATCCCACTCCACTGAGAACAGTGCTTTTAGCACATGGAATGCCTTTATGAAACAATAGCATTTAAAAAATAATTCATAGGAAAGCAACCATTATTGGCATCCTGGTTGAAGTAACTTGTAATTACTACTCATAGTATTGATGCTGATAATACTGCTCTGTGTGTTCTGTCTAAGTTTTCTTTTGATGTAAAATAGTATGTCACTGGTAACATTTCAGTCGTCAGTATTCTCAGTAAAATAAATTTATGGAAGAAGTTAATTTTTGTTTTAATTGAAATAACTTGTGATGGTATCATGACAAGTAAATCTCAATTAATCTCTCACGTTAAAATCAAAATCATGACATCCTGCTTCCTTTTAACAAGTAGTGTGTTGTAGCTAATGCAAATAGACCTTTTCCAACTCTTATTTAGTTACTGTCAGCATTGCAAACTAATGAAATATTTTGGCACCAAAGGCCATCAGTCCTCAAGGCTATGTAAGTTACTGAATTTTGGGTTTTAGAATGAATGTTAGAAAAGTTCTCTATTTCCATGTAGAAATTCAATAGATCCTAATTGCCTTGGTGAGTTTTTGCTCACGCTGTTACAAAATGTTATAATATTAAAATGTATGATATCATTCTTAATAGTTCTTTGGGGCAAGAAACCTTAATTTTGTATCCTGTATTTACAGGCTAGTGTTTAAGAGTGTAGATTTTATCTGAACAATGAGAATGAAAAAAATCTAAATCGACTTGTAAAGCACTGATTTCCATTTCCTCAAATCTCTTAGTTCACATTTTAGTCACAATTTTCAAATGACAACAGAAGTACTCGTTTACAGATATTTATTTTCATTTAGGCTGTTGGTACATTTATATTTAATGCAATGTCAGACATGACCCCATTGTTACAGTATTTTAACATGAAAGAGATTTTTCTAATTTAAAATTTTTTCTTCTATTTTCATAGCAGGTATCCTAAATATTTGAAGCTCTCATGGGTTGCAAGTCTGCACACTGACACATTTACTCCTAACCTTTCCTTCTTACTGTCAAGATTTGCTTGCTGCAAATCAAACATAAATCCTGTGATGCACCTTATACTTTCTCTCAGGGTGTATTTGGATAAAGCAGCTTGTGTCTTTACTCTTTCTTAGGAGCAAAAGATGCTGTATTAGTTCTTCATCTGGTAGGATTGTGTGTTTTCACAGGATTCACTGGAGCTTCTGTGCTTTACCCTGGCTAGTCAGGGCATTGCATTTCTGCAACACATGGTGCATTGGTTTGCCAGGGCTTCTGAAACTGCCAGGGAAAGTGCAACTCTTCTACTTAGGAATGCAACCTTATTTTTAATTAATTTACTCATTTAGTTTAGGAAAGGGAGGATAGCCTGCATTCTGCAAATCTGGTGCTCTTTTTCCGGGGCCTGGAGTAGAACATGTCTTTTCAAAATAGAACAACTCTTACATGAAGGTAAAAAGTCTTTGCACACCGTTGGGAGTCGATGTGTTGCTTATAAACATGTGCTTTCAGAGCACATTAGATGAGTACATGGATTTGTTTCCTTGCTAGTGGTGTTCCTTGGAGGGCTGTGAGAAAAAGATGCAGCTCAGCTGCGTACTGCATTGTTGGCAATGCACTCACTGTGAGGCCATCTTTTTGCTGTGGAATAGTGACACATCCTCCAGTGTCCTGACCACAGCTGTTCCGAAATAAATTTACATCAGCCTATTCCACTGCAAGTCACTATAGCTGATACTACTACTACTACTATTACTACTAAATTATATATCTCTTCATATTTTAAACATAGGCACTGAAACATTTGAAGAAAAAAAACTGTGTGTTGCCTAATGAACGACTTGTAAAGCAATGTTGAAACATACAAAGAAGTTATTATACCATACATCCTATAACCGCTTGAGTAAGGCATGTTGTTGGACACTGAAAGTGTCCCTATGTTTTTCGTATCTTTAATAGAAATACTGTATTTAATGGCCCATCCAAAAAAATCAGTATGTCATTCTTTGTGGCATGCTAACAATTTTCATAAGGTTTGTTGATTTTGTAAAGTTATTTCATTCACACATAATTACTTTATTACAAAAATAGCTTCCAGTAATCTGATCTTTAACACAAATCACATTATTTTCCATGTTTTATGTGGAACATGTTTTGCATATTCTGTGGTCTAAGTTAATTCAAACTCTTTTTCAAGATGACGTAAGTAGTAGAGAGAATTCATTAAAGCATAATCAACCTTCTAAACAATGGAAATAGTTTTCTTTAGCAAATGTTTCCTTGAAGTGAAAGTAAAGACTACTTTAGTTTTATATGCTCCTGTCAGCTAATTTATTGCCTCTTTTCCTCAATTATGCCCCAGTGAGTTTGTTTTGTTGCATAAACACCACATTAAGCGTCTTCCATTTTCAACTAGGTGGCTGCACTACAATCCCAGAGTCTGATTTAGAGGAAAGGACCATTATACCGGGCTCCGCAGCAATGTTTGCCAGTCATGGGCAGACCACAAAGCAGAAATCCAAGCCTGGTAAGAAAAGGAAAATTATGTTATTTCACTTAGAGGTGTACAGCTCATATTTTCAGAATGCTTGTGGATATATGAAACAAATGGCATATATTTCAGCCTTTGTTGGCATAATTTCTAGCTTTTCTTGCTACAATAGTACAATGTGTAGGATTCTGAGCTTATTCAGCTTCCTCTGTCAAGAGTGGCTCAACTGTAAAGATCAGTCTTGGAGTTAAATAACTTCAAAGTTGAAAGGTTTAGTGCTGTGTTATACTTGAATGAAGTTCTCACAGGTTTTATTCACTATCTCCTCCACAGAGGCAAGATGAAACTGAGGGCATTTTGATGTAACAAAGGTGGGTTTTTTTTCCTGTGGTCTGGTGGTTACACTTTGTGCCAGCTGATTAAAATATGGTCATAACTTATCTTTTGTGGGGAGACTTCCTAGAATTTCAGAAAAATATTATTGGATATAATAAAATGAAATTATACTGGCTATAAAATATGCTGCGTACCGTGATGACACATTTTCTGGAAAGACTTCATGCTGCCGGGAACTGTGATATAGTGTTAACATATTTTAAAAGCAGCACTGTAAAGTACTGCCTTGCAGTTTAATAAAGTGTCTGGTAAATTCTCAGGGTTTGATTATAGCAATTTCACGTTTTGCTTACTAAGTTGTACCTTCACACTTCTTTTCCCCTCTCCTTGACTGATTTTATCCTATAATATTTATTATAAAATGTATTTGAATGTTGCTTGTAAATCAGAAGTGCTCAGTATGGATGGGTGTTGAAGAAAAGCAGCTTAGAGGTTGCAACCAGCAGCAGTCAAAAATAGAAGGTTCTTATACACCTGCAAGACACAGTCAATTGTGTGTTTAAAAAGCATTCAGCTGCTGGTTTGCCCAGCTAACTGTAGCACAGACAGGCAGGGAGTTGGAATAGATAGTTAATTTCAATAGCAAAATTTACATTACCAAATTTTTAATAATGGGCAGGAAAGAAGGATATGGAATGCAGCAATGTTTAATAATGCCACAGTGTAACTTAAAAATTAGTACCTGCTGACAAAAGCAACCTGAAAAATCCCCTGAAGGCCTAAAGTTCTGACTTTTCTAGAGTGCTAATTGCTTGTGGTCCTCATGGACTTTAGGTCATTAGAGGAAGAGAGCCTGTCAAAGTTGACATAAATATAGTTTAACCTTTGCCATCTGGATATATTAAGTAACCTCCTGGTAATGGAAAAGTATATCATCTCTCTGATGTAGGATACAATCCTGATAAAATTCCAGCTTCAAGAAATTAGACTAATAAATCACAAATATATGGCAGGTTATTTCTCTTTGTCTGATGCTCCAGTCTTCTGATCAAGCATGTATTTGTTCTTCAGTAGATAATGTTCTCCTATATTTAAATAACCTTATTACTGAAAAGACTAGCATGAGTGGAAAAGTGTAGAAATGTATTCATGAGATCCAGAAACAACAGCATGGGGACCTGCATATCCTAGTGTAAGTCTTAGCCCATGATATAAATTGAGACTTACGTCACATAGCTGGCTGTTGTTGCTTTGTAACTATGAAGGGCAGAATGAAAACTTTGAAACCTTTTAAAAAAGTCATTAGGTTTACAGCCGTGTGTTATACAAGTGAGTTTAATTCATTCATGGTAAGAATTGACTGCTATCTGCCAGTTAGTGCTGCAATATAGAGAACACCTAGAATATCTGCCACCGAGCTGTCTGGAAATTCTAATTGCTGTGAGTGTAAGAGCCAAGGGAGCTACTTAAACCTGACGGTAACAGTAGGCATGAAATCACAGCCTTTCAATGTTTTTCTCTACATGATATTTTTGGACTGAGTTCTTGCTCAGGCACCACAGACTGCAGCAAGACCAGGGTGATTACAAAGAGCCCTCAAAGAATATTTCCTGTGTCTTATGTATCTTTTTATTTGAGTTTACATTTAATTTAACTATGTGCAGTAAATAAAAGAGAGAAAAGGACAAAGTAGAGTAAAAGTAATTTTTCTTGATATATCTTCCTTCATTTCCTAATGGAGTTCAAGATAGATTCTCATTATGAGTTGTGAGTTGGTTGTTTGATGACCCTAGTGGGCCACTTCCAACTCAGGATGTTCTGTGATTATATGATAATGTGTTGTATGAGCTATGCAAAGAACTGAGGGAAATGAGGGACTGAGACCTGGAAGGCTGTTCTGTGAGAAAGTGTGCTGTAGGGCATCATCCTGTCACAGACTTGCAAATTATCTCATGCAAAGTATTATACTGAGACTTTCCAGGCAGCTGCTAAGCATGTGAGAGAGACTTTTGGCTTTACTTGGAATAGTTACTTGGGAGAGCAGAAAATGACATCTAGTAGTCATCTGCAAGTCTGTGCAAGGACAGAATGAATGGTTTTAGCTCAATGACAGAGTTACTTTGGAAAGGGAATTTCTGGTTTTATGTTGCTTTCTTTTAATTGCTGAAATAGTTCTCACTTTTTGTTTTTCTTATTTATTTCTAATCCAAATATGTTGTGATTTTATTGTAGAGAATGGGATCACTTTAATGATATCTGGAAGCTAATGGTATTATTGCAGTTGTAGGAGTAGGTTCTTTTAGATGGCTTTTGCTTTGAGTAGGTAAAAAATACTTCCTTGGACATTGTCTATCCCAGTGAATGGAAAAGAGTTCTTCCATTTCTTACCACCTCAAGACACAGAGTCTGTGTTTATTGCATTGGGAAGAATAAGGTTAGCATAATAAATCTATGCTAATTTTGCTCTTTTGTTTTGGTTAGGAGGAGGACAGAGCAGCACATATTGCATATATATATATATATATATTCTCTCAATATGCACAAGTCTGGTGGGAGAATCTGAATGTAATTTGAAGTTCATTTGTTATGTCTTTACTTTTTCCATGAGCTCACAGCTATAATACTAATGCTTACCTCTACTGCAAACAAGTACAAACATAGTGATTGTAGACTCTACATAGGTACTGTCGAGTTCCTTTGTCTTTTGGTGTACTCTTCTGTTTTCTTCTTTACAAGTTATGAATTTCTAACTAGAGTTGCATCTGCTTGAGTGGTCTGATTTTATGGAGAAGTTGTCATGTGTTTTAGAAGGTAACAATTAACAGAGCTTTGCAGAACTCCACTTCTCAAACTCTTGCTTGTGCTCAAAAATTTCTGATGGAATTAATTGAAAATATGGTTTGTCACAAAGACATATAGAGAAGCTCTTGTACCTGAATGCTTTTAGAGAAATCTCTAAGAAATATGAGAAACAACCTTGAAACAACAATTAAACTGTGCTGATTGTGAGCTTTAGGATGTAATAACAACATATGCATTTATCGGGATATAGCCCTTAAAGTAAGTATTTTGAACTCCTTGTGTGTTCTGTGCTGCATGCTACTTCCTATGAAAGAGAATTTCCTAAGACCTTTTTCTCCAACCAATATTCCTACTGAATATTTTACACAGAAAGGGTCTGGTTGTTTTTTCATGAGTAAAGAGTTTTATGCTGGTAAATCATTACTGACTTCACTAAATTGATGGAAAAGCAGATAAAAAGTTAGTATGAATAAAAGAATGGGTTGAGAAATGTATCTTGGTTTTTTTTATATTTTTTTTTTGTTTTGTTTTTGATTTTGGTTTGGTTTTGGTCTTTTATATTTTTGAGTTTTTTTCTGTGAAACAATTGCGCTGAATACTTTGTAATTTCCTTGCTCAGGATTTTACCGCACCTGGAGTCAGATTTGTCACATGTGATGACATGCAGGTATTGGAATTTTCACAACTTGTAAGACTTGATTTTCCTGGCAGAATTTTTCATCAAAGATCCCATAAACCTATTCTGTCAATAATCTATCTAAACAACAACAACATCATCTTTAATATTTAAGGGCAGTCATTGCCTGACTTTGCTATAATAATTCAGAATAATTGTCTCTTCCTGAGAGAGCAGTATGGCACAGTATTTACATTTATCGTTTAAACACAAATATTTCTGAGAAGCTATTCATAAGACAAAAGATTTAGCATTTGGATTTGCTACTGTGCATCCACTGTTTTAGTTAAATTCTTTGTATGTTGCTGTCATGCAAATATTTAGATAACTTAAAGATTAAATTTCAAAGTTCTCATCTTCTATGATTATATTTAGTAAAGTAAATAAACTTCTATAGTTTAATACTCAAATCATCTAAGACCAAAAACTGTGTCAGCATTTATATTTATGATTGGAATAGATTTTTAACTGTCTTTCATTTGAATCTAGCTTATTATTTGTGATTAAATAGGCAGCTATACATAGACAACTGTGAGGTTGAGCTATAAACTCCAATAAAACAAGACATTCTGAGTCAGATTTTCAAAACACCCTCCAAAGTTGCACCCAGACATTGTACAGCTGCATGTCTTTAGTTTGTTTATTTTGTTACTTTTTCTTCAGCAATGAATGGCAATGTTCATGTAGATGTAGAAGGTGATTTAAGAGTATCTTTCAACTTCACCCTCCTAATCAAAGATTTCTCTTTTTAATAGCATAGACAATTTTAGGAACTATCCCATGGTTCCAGCCCACAACGATGTTTAGTTGTACTAACCTTTTGATAAACAAGATTGAAACTGTTTTCCTTTAAAGGGTCTAGGGACACATTTAAATTTATCTATCTGCTTAATTTTTCTTATGAATACACATCTGTGTGAAACTGCAAGCTACATCTGCTAAGTAGCTCATCAAAAAGTGATGTAATACAAAATGAAATTTTGTGATAGTGTTTCATGTATTTGATTTTAGAAAGGTAAACACTTAAACGCTTGGCTTTGTACAAAGAGTTAGATAGTAAAGAGCTTTTGGATATAAATTGCTGTCAGCTCTCCACTGAGTCTTTTCTGTACTGTTCTTAATATTATTTCTTGCCTACACATTTGAAGAAAGGCATATCCTGGAATTTGTTTTGAAGGGTGCCTAAATTTGCTGTAAAAACTCTAAAGCAGGTCTGTGAAAG